TTATGGTGTGAAATTTAAAAATATACAAAATCAGAGAAAATAATTTACTGGCTCAATAGCACTGTCTTATTTCAACAATCATAACATTTCCTTTTTATTGGATCCCTTCTCTAGCCCTGTGGCTTAGTTTGAAACATAATTGTCTTGGCTACACACACACACACACACACACACACACACACACACACACACACACACTTTCCACAGACTCTTAAAAAGTAATACATTATTACATCTGAAACCAAACAGTAAGTTTTTAATAGCATCAAATATTTAATCAAGGCTCAAGTGTCCCCAATTATCTTTGTAAGCATTAATTCATCCTGGTGAGTATCCAAGCCTCAGATCTCTCTTTAATCTATAAGTTCTCTCTCCCTTTTTCTCAGCATTCATTAAGAAATTGGTTATTTGTTGCCTAGAAGGTCCACATTGTAGCCTCTGGAAATTGTCTCCCCAAGGAATGAATATGCCTTTCTCTTCTATGCATTTCTTGAAGAGGTATGGTCACATACAAATATTATGTAGATTTCTCAGCAAGACTACAGGAGAGACTGGGATCTGGCTGGTTTAGGATGATCTTAACTGGAGCAGCTCTGTGCCATGTAGTGTCCATATTTAAGTGTCACCTCATGTTTGGGTCCAAGGGTGGGAGATGGAACTCTCCAATGCCTTCTTAAGCCCAAGTTTACTATCTGCTTGGCCAAAATAAATCGTAAACTGGGTTTAAAGTTAGAGTGGAAGGGCCTACAGATAGAAATGCCAGTTACTGGGCCTTTGTCAGGAGACACATAACTTGACATTGTCTTATAAGATAAAGTCTACTCAGACATTCAAGTGTCATATGCCTGATTCATCTTTCTTTCTTGTAATAATGAGGCACTAATTTGGTCATTACTTCTGCATTGTTTTCTTACATACAGGATCTTCTGTGAAGGAGTAGTTACTTACTATCAATTACTTGATATTGCTGAGGCAAAGAATAATTTTCTAGTGTTTGTGCTACTGAATTAGTACCTTAGCACTCAACACTCCAAAGGAAGTGGTAAGTTTTGATATCATTGTCTATTACTGTATAATCATCATCATCATCATCATTATTATTATTATAATAAACAGATTTTTAAACTCTTTGACACGTGTCAGATCACTATAGTCAATATTTGTTTTAACACTGAAGTCATTCCATCCTACCAGTAGGAGATCCTTCAGTTTGGTCTCTGAGTCATTTCGCTGAGATCCCAGACAGGTCTCCTTTTCTCTTCTGTGACTAGGTTTTTCAAGCTCACTGTGCCCCAGAAGTGGACTCAGATATTTCTGAGCATGTGCCTCTATGTGTTATGGAGCCCTGAATCCACAAGCTGAGGTTTTAAACTACATTATAGACTTGCATATGTGGTAGACAGTGCACATAGTTGCTGTTTGTTTAATGTACCAACCTCTATTTCATTGTTATGGAAATAAATATCACTGTATCTTTGGACATTATGGTTTTTCCTCACTAATAATTTATATCTAGTCATCACAGCCTGCCTCTCTAGGTCCAACTGCAGATATGTCATCAAAGCTTTTGCCAACATCATTTGAACTGCAAATGGAGAAATTTAACTTGCCAACAATATATTGAGATCGAAGCTTTGGGGCTGTCATCAACCCTGCTTTTCCTACCACATGTAAGAGCTGGTTGGACATATTTGGTGACTCAGTTTCCCTAGGGATATTTCATCTAGTGCCTTGGCCCTGGATGCCTCTAACTTCCTGAAATCTTAGCCTGTCACTTACTCTCTTGACTATATACTGGACAGTCTCATTAATTCGATGCTTTGTCTCTGGAATCTTAGACATTTAAAAATTATTCTTTGAAAATTTCATAGATATGTACAATGCATCTTAATTACATATGCCTCACTTTCTCAATGTGCCTTCCTTATAGCTTCAAGACTTCTTAAAAAAATAACCCGTTGAGTCTAATCAGTGGTGTACATTTGCCCATGGTGGTGAGGTTATCCGATGGGACACTGGCAACCTGCTATTGCCACTCCTTAAAGAAAAGTGACTCTCTCCCTAAGTAGCCATCAGCTGCAACTTGGGGTAGGCCTTTGGGAACACCTTTCAACTCCATGCTGGAATCTTTAACTGGCTTGATCATGTGCAGAGAACCATGGCATCTGTGAGTTCCAATTCACAGTTCTCCTCCCCACCCACTGACTCTTAAGTTCTTCATACCCCCTCTTCCATAATGTCCTTTGAGCCTTGGGGTGGGGGTGGAGAATGTCAATAAAGATGTTCCATCTGTGGTGAAGCACTCACAGTTGCTTAGTATCATCAGTTAGAGCAGTTATGTGTCTATGCACTAACCTCTGCCCAGCAATACTAAGCCAGCCTCTCTGACCAAGGTTAGGAACAGTGCAAATCTATGGATAAAAACAGAAACATTTAAAAGACAGTCAGACAATGTGCCCCTGTCGCCAAATAACATTAGAAGGTTCTTATACCTTGGTTGGTTTATGTGAACCCTAGCCACAGGTCTTGATAACCTTAGCTCTTGGTGATCATAACCATTTATTTAATAATCATTTTATTGTAGTGTTTCTGATACACAAAGCATGTGTCGCATTGAGATCACTGGTCCCTGCCTCCCCAAGATGTGTTCCGTGTCTCCTTCCCCAGTCTACACTGTAAGATCCACATCTTCAGTGACAGACAATGTTATCTAGGCCCCCTTGAAAACACAGCTTGCTAGATGTACTCACTATGGATAGTTGATCACTCCATCTATGACTTGTAAATCCTTTTGAACAAGATAAGACAATGATGGTTTTTGAAGAAAATAAGACAACAATGGTTCATTGAAAAAACCCTCCTGCAAACTCATGTTCTCAAGCTTTAGCCAGGCTTCCCCCAGTTCAACTCCTAACTTTCACTGACTCTACCCTCCTGCCCCTTCCCTCAACAAATAACCTCATTTTGAACTTCATGCTAACCATGACTGGAATTTTATCAGACTAATAGTAGCATCACTACCCATGATGTTTTAAAGCAAAATACCATGCAATAGCTCTAAGAGTGAGAGATAAATGCATCATTACCAGTAAGAAAGCCCTATCACAAGGAAGGCAAAACCACTATCCTGAGTGTTCAGTAAATCTGAGTAACAACCCACTCCCTAACTCAAAGGCTTAAAACCATAATCATATGCTATTTTTTTTTCACGAGTTTGGGGCATTGCCTGGATCATTTGCTCTGGGCTATGCTGGGATCAGTTGGGATCTTGAGATAATTCCACTTTTCTCTCATCTCATTCTACCAGGCTTTTGCTCACGTTACCACTGTGCTAAAACTGTCTACCATATTAGAAAGCAGTGGCAACTTTATTAATTTGGCTATGGAAGGTGATCTTTGAGGAGGAATCTTTATAAAATATTGTTATGTATTTGGTGTCAGCATAAAGTAACCAACTCACCAAAAGGTGAATTGAAACAACAGCCACAAACCAGTGTTGGTGTGTGTGTTTGTGTGTGTGTGTGTGTGTGTGTGTGTGTGTGTTTACATTCCATGACACTTGTGTGGAAATTCAGAGGAAAACATTTGGGAGTCAGTTATTTCGTATTGTGTCAGTTACGGAGATCAAACTTAGACTATCACTCTTGATGACAATTGCCTTTAACCATCAAACCATCTTGACAGCCCCCAATAAATGAAATCTGAAAAGGAAAACTAGCTTCCCCACCTGGCAACTCAAGCCAGGCTTTTAAGTAAATTGAAATCAAGCACAGATTAGTTTTAGGGTAAGAAATCAAACCAGACATGTGACTGCAAACTTTGTGGAAACTCTAATAAAGTCTTATCCTAAATAAATACATCTAAATTAGGGAAGGAGAGTAAGTGTTAATTGGAGTCACATTTTTAACACTCCATTGACAGTTTTCAAAGTCAGAGGCTTTTAAGTCTTGTAGTTAAAAGGTCTCTCTCTCTCTCTGTCTCTCTCTTCTCTCTGTCTCTGTCTGTCTCTCTGTCTCTGTCTCTCTGTCTCTCTGTCTCTCTCTCTCTCTCTCTCTCTCTCTCTCTCTCTCACACACACACACACAGTTTCCATCTGACCAGCCCTCAAAAAACAGTTAACTAAAAATACTAAAGTTTTCAGGCAAAAAAGCTCAGCATAGCTCTAAATAATGTAGTATTTTTGTCTCTACCCATTGGCAATGGTTACAGAATAAAATATTTTAAAAATATTTTATTTTTAGTTAAATGGTCTTTTGTGGGTATGTGCACTTGTATGTAGGTGTCCATGGAGACTCTAAGAGGGCATCCAATCCCTTGGAGCTGGAGTTGCAAGGGCTGCTGGGACCTGAACTTGGGTCCTCTGTTACAGCAGCAAACATTGCAATCAACTGAGCCATCTCTTCAGCCAGGAGCTCTGCATTAGATCAAAACTGATGACAACATCTCATCTAGATCTAAGGTGTACCACCTCTCTCCAGAATCCTTAAAATGTATCTTAATAAAAAGTAACCTGAAGCTGGGTGTTGGTGGCACACGCCCTTAATCCCAGCACTCGGGAGGCAGAGGCAGGCGGGTCTCTGTGAGTTCGAGGCCAGCCTGGTCTACAGAGCGAGTTTAGGTCAGCCTCCAAAACAATACAGAGAAACCCTGTCACTGGAAACAAATTTTGCAAAAGTATAAAAGAAAAAACAGTTTCTTTTTTCTTAAAAAAGAGGCACCCATATAACCTGCAAAAGAGCTATCTTTGACATCCATGTCAATACTTTCCACTCTCCCTAATGATAACTGCACTTCAGTAGTCCCAGTTCATGTCCCCTAGAAGTTCATGATAACCAATACCAGAGAGTCCAGTGCTCCAGCACCAGGGTCAAGGCTTGGCAGGCAGAGTCTTAGTGCCCCTTTCCTGTCCGGTCCCCTCCACGCCCACCTCCTCAGCAAGAGTCCCCTCCCCTTGCTGGAGCCCGGACTCTCTTTGCCCTCATTGTTGGCCGCATCTGTCACTTTGTGGGCAGGATGACATGAATGGATGGGCCGGACACACCTTCCGTCGTGATGTGAAAACCCTGTCCTGATCTGCAGACCGTTCCCGGACTCTGCCAGAGACGCAGCCAAGGGCTGGGACGCACCCCTCCTCCCCATCCCGTTTGGGTCCCGGTCCCTGCGCACTCGCTACCCGCAGCTCACCAGGCAGCGGCGCGCACCATGCTGCCCAGCGCTGTGGCGGCCCAGGCCGGAGCCTACTGGGATGTGGTGGCTTCTTCAGCACTCCTCGGCCTCCCCGCTCCGGGCTTTGGCAGCTTGGGCAAGAGTTTCCTGATCGAGAACTTGCTGCGAGCAGGGGCCGGACCCACGCACGCACCCCCGCCCCCGCGCCCTGCGCTGGGTCCCGAGTGTCCTCAGCTGCGGCCACTGCCCGCCAGCCCAGTACCGCTCAAGCTGTGCCCGGCCGGGCCGTATGGTGCGCGATGGGCCTTCCAGATGCCTGGCCGGGCTCCAGGGGACCGAGACACTGCCTTCCAGCCCTCAACCCCAGGTGAGCTTTGGTCAAGGGGAACCTTGGTCCAAGAGAGCCTCGACTCAGGAAGCCTCAGTCCTGGGGAGCCTCAGCCTCGGGGAGCCTGGACCCAGGAGAGCCTCAGCCCTGGGGAGCCTCGACCCAGGGGAACTTCAGTCCAGGGGAGCCTCGATCCAGGGTAACCCTAGCCCAAGGAAACCTCGGCCTAGGGAAGCCTTGGTTCCAGGGTAGCCCTAAGCAACCTCAGCCTCAGGTTAGCTCTGCCGCTAGCCCAAGCGCCAAAGCAGTCTCCACCGTGAGCCTCGAGTAGCTCACGGTGAGTACTCGCCGGGATGACCCACTGCAGTGAGCTGAGCCAGGGTGCAGATGCTACTCGTGCAGTCAGGAGGGGACACCAGTTCTGATATCTTTTCTCTCCATCCCATCCAGCCCTCGCCATTCTTAGCCTCCTTCTTCAACAGGTGGCTGGGCTACTTGGGCTGATCGTCTCTGCGGGGATCCTCGGAGTTTAGGGATTTCTAGCTGGCTGGCTTCTGTCCCCAAGGTTAGCACTGCATCTCCGGAAAGGTGTTAGCCGGATGGTGCCTGGGGCTTAGCGGCTAGAGACCTTGCCGCTGCCTTGGTGGGGGTCTGATGATTTGAAAAGAGTTGCACAACCTTTGGACTTCACAGTTTGGATCTCCTGAGGCGTAATGATCAAGGCTTGTTTGCTTCGTTCTGAGCTAGCTGATAAAATGTCGGATTGGAAACTAAAGTAGGAAGTTCACCTATAGACAGGAATGTGAATAAAACCTAACTAGTGGGATTGAGAGGAAAGCTGCAGGCAGTTGAGTTAAATAAGAGGTAAAGCTGAAGCCAGACATTAACAAAGTCTCCAAGTGACTGGAGGGAAACTGAGATCCAGTTGGATGACCTTCTTCTTCTTCTTCTTCTTCTTCTTCTTCTTCTTCTTCTTCTTCTTCTTCTTCTTCTTCTTCTTCTTCTTCTTCTTCTTCTTCTTCTTCTTCTTCTTCTTCTTTATTACTAATTAATTCATTTATTTTTTACTGTGTCCTTAGACGGTCTTTTAATCCCGGTGAGTTTGCCCAGAAAGACGAACGTGCCTTTCAGCGGTTTCCATTGTCCCAGCAAACAGCCAGGTCAAATTTATTGCTAATGGCTTTATAGAATTTAGTGTGTTTAGAACCTGTCCCGGCCTTTCACTTGAAATGACTACTAACAGAATGGAACAAATGAAATTATTAACACCGGTCTCTTTCACAGAGCATAGAACTTAAATGCTGAGAGAGCCCTTTGCACCCTGGGAGAGGCAAGCTTTGGTGAAGGCAAGGTCTGTGTGCCTTGGGAACGTTTGTGTGCCAAAGAGACATGAGCACAACTCTTTTTGAAATATTGTAAATGTTGAAATATTGTATATAAATATGTGAGATAGGTTTATGTGACCACAAACAAGTAAATAATGTTACACAAATAGCATTTGCTTTTCAAGACAATTTGGGGATTTGCAGGTTTAGAATTGTGCTCAGAGAAGTTAGCTTTAAAGACTTCTTAAATTGCTGGTGATTGACCTCTTGGTGTGCAAAACTACTTAGCTGTAACCTTTGTTGACTTTTCAGTGGTTAAACTAAGTGCAAATTAGCAAGGATAGCTCAGTAAGCCACAAAAGTAATTTCCGTATACTTATTCATTTCATTCCAAATACTGTATTTAATGGAGAAGGGGTTTCCAAGACTATTTATTTTATTACAAGAACGTATTCATCCTGGTATACTTACTTACTCAAGTGCCCAAGTGCAAAAAAAAGTGAGGTTTTTTAAAGTAACTAAGAGAGCATAACTTGAAATGCTCTACTATAGTTTAGATGTATTATTTTCCCAAATGACTTGTTCAATCCCCATTGAGGATTGCATCTTTTCCTAGGTTAGTTTTCATATGGACAAGCAACCCTTTGTTTCAAAATGCATTTTTGTGAAGAAAACATCCACTTTTTCAAGCTGGAAAAAAGTCTAAAGAGAAGGAGGGGGAGAAAAAAAACCCTGTAAGTCCGTGACCAAAATAATTTAGATGAGAATGCAATCAGTCTTGTGAACACTGGCTCCATTTAAATGATGCTACCCTGTCTCAGTAAATGCAGGCTCTCCTTCATCTAGCAGTGGTGAGGTTGTAAAGTGACAGTATCTTTAAAGATCATCTGGAGATCAGGTGAGTTGGTGTGGCTGATGTCACTCCCACAACTGGGAGCTGACCTCACAGTCTCTCGTACATGCTGTGCAAACAAATGTTACACCGAGGTACATCCCCAGCCTGTGACTGCCATTCTGTAGAGTTCTTAGAAGAGCTATCCCCCTCCCCCCAAAATAACAATAGATCTCTTTGGGGAATAACCAGTAAAGTATGTATCAGTTTGTTTTGGTTTCGGTTTTGGTCAGCAGTGGAGATTGAATTGGAGCCTTGTGAATGGTAGGCAAGCATACTGCCATTGACTCACATCTGAAACCCCTAAGCATAAGTTCTGTGTCTTTACTTTATATATTGACTTGGGAAAGAATCGTCAAATGTGATTTAAAATAATTTTAACACATGACTACACTTATTTTTGTCGACCTTAATTTGTTGACTACTCTTAATGGACTGGTAAGAAATTGCCGCTGTTGCTTTATATAGATCACACTGCCTAAAACTGATGATCTGTTCTGTTTGTGTTTTTGCTTCATTATTTTGGTTATACACTGTTGATTACACCACACAGTTCATCCGTTCAGCAAAGCTTGAGGTCCGTCATGTGTTGGGCTCTGTTTTAGGTGATTGGCATAGTCGCTGAATAAACAGTGACTTATTTCTGCCCTTGTGGAGTTACAGTCCATGCCCTTAGGTTCCAGTCATTTTCACAATGCTTAGCTTCTCTAATCCTCACAGTAGGCATAGCAGTTGTTTTCTATAACAAATTATTTTACTTGCTAATTTTGTTTTTGTCCTATGTGCAACTTTCAATGTGAATGGACTCCCAAAAGAGAAGAAAAATGCCCCCAATCTTCAGTCTGCTACCTTGGGTTCATCTTGTGTTGACTCTAAGGAGGCCTCAGAGAGTCCAAACAGGGAAATAATCAGGAAAGAAGTTTGCAGCTGAGAAAGTGCTCAGGCACCCCAGGTCAGTGGTGAGAGTAGAGCTTCTTAGCCCCCCAAAATCAGCTAGTGTCAACACCTTGGAGGAAGAGGTTCTAAGTAATAAGTTGTCAGCACCAAAAGGGTGTTTCTGAGGGTTCAAGGAAGACACCTTTTCTGACAGCAGGTAATGAAGAGTCACCTATACTTTTTATCGGAAAGGAAGATGTCTCTAATCCATTAGAGTTTACTAATGGGGATCAGGAGGCTTTACAAGTGAAATTATAAATATTAAAGGCAATATTCCCAAAGCTCATTATCCTCATCATTTGGAAAATACTGTGAGTATTAGAACATTCATGTATTTTTGTATTTAAAAAGGGATCTTCAAATTTATAGAAGAAAAAATATGTATTTCTCTTAGTTATGAGAATGCCCTGTGAATTTTCCTCTTGATGGTTGGGCCACCAAGTCTCTTCAAATTGAAAGTAGCTTGCTGTTTATTAAACCCGCTTGTGTGCATTTAAAAGGATCAGAAAGCAAATGTTTATTCTGGACAAGTGAGTTAAACATTCTTTAAGTTGTCTTATCATATATGTATAGCCCAGAAATGCAAAATTGGTACCATTTTTTTTTCTGTAACTCATCTGAGGTTTCTTTTTACTGCCAATATTTAACATGTTTTCTGACTGCTTCACCTATCTGTCATTCAGAGGATTATTGACCTACTAATTCTCCACTCTGTTTCACCTACTTTCATGTGTGTCATAAATCCAGAGTGGCATTTTATCCTCCCTTCATTGAGACACACCGGCACTGTGATTCTACAAAACTGTTTTAGGCATTTGGCAAAGGATGGCTCGGAAGACTTTATTGATAAACTGTATTCTAGCATTATTTTTGGCTGGTTGAAACCTTGGACCCTGGGATGTTAATGATGTTGATGAGGACCAGGGCAACAAGAGTGTAGAATTCAGAATAAGATTGATGGCCCCATTGAAGCAGTTTCTTGCTCTGGTCATTGTCTCTGCCATCTTCTGCTGGGAGTAGCAAAACCATAGTCTTTATTTATTTTGATATTTTTGTAGCCAGGTTAGCATGTCCTTGTAGTTATACAACCCATGAAAAATTCTGAGCAAATTTTGTTGCATAGTCTCCAAGTTAATCAATACCTTCAGGTTCAAGGGGAGCAGTCCTTATCATGAGTAGCACTAACAGGTCCTTTACTTTAGTGCTGATGGAGAAAGCCACACTCCTTTAAAAAACAGCATCTGACTTGGAAACTGTCCATGTGCATTTGAGTTGCTCCCAACCTCAGCACCCACACACCTCCCATTAGTCAACATACTCAGACAAATGAATCTTAATGGGCACATGTATGGATAGCCATTCCTATTTCCTAACACAGCAGGAATAAATGCAGCAGACAAGCTTAAGTTCTAATTTCCATGTAGTTCCCACTTCAGTGACTTCAGGGATAAAGATGTGCAATGGATTGAATGCTTAGAACCTAGATTTTAAAACAGTATTCAGAAGGTTTATGACTGCACCAGATAAGAATGCCACATGTGCTAGGCAACTTGTGATGGCCAAGGGTGACTTTTGCCTTTTCCTCCGGGCTAGGCAAGTCCCTCCTCTTTATCTATTTGTGTTGGATTCCATTGTCTTCCTCCTCTGTGCTGCCTCCTTTCTTTTCATGTACCTGCCAGAAAGCATCTTTATTTACTACAAGACATTTTTATTTAGCCACATAGAAATGATGGCAATGCGTCAGTAAAGGACAACCGTCTGTACATAATTTCTGGTTAGTAATTGCATGCTATTTTCTTTCTGATTCTTTGATTGCAAAGCCTGTACACAAGGAAATTTTTTCTTAAAATGCTTAAACAAATGTGTCTCTTTCTTTCAAAAGAGTA